AAAAAAAAACAAGAAAAAGAAAAAGAAAAAAAAAGAGAACAGGTCCAAGTGTGTACATGCCGAAGAAATTGACTCAAAGTAGTGGTAGGGGCATCTACAACCTTAACGAAGATGTCTGCCCTACGAGTGATGCCTACTTACGGGCATTGGAGTACTTTCGTGTGATTCTCTTAGAGCGGGTAACACACCACGAGGATGAAGTCTTCTCTGCTCGGGCCCGTTTTCAAATGCAGCGAGATCAGGACAGAGAACACTTTGAGCGTACACAGCGCCGTCGACAGCGGGCGGAGCATGGCGGTCGATCGCGGCCTACGGTCCTGCAGCAATTAGAACAGGCAGCGGCGGGGGAAATGGTGAGTGAAACCATGTCCTCTGCAGAGGAGGAGTTCCGTGCAGATCAGCAGAAACTGTATATTGAACATGAGGAGGAATTGCAGGAGTTGTATCCACTTGCGTTTCTTAGTGAGGAGAGTGCGGGAGTGGTGGCCTTCACTCTACTTCCCATGCTGCGAGGGAAACTGATGGCGTTGGGGCAGCAACGTACGGAGGGATGGAAAGAGCAGATGAAGGTTTTGGAGGAAAATGGGTCTCTGCAGTCCACAAATAATAATAATAATAATAATCATAGTGTATTGTCAACGTGTAATTCACAGGCAAGAACTGGTGGTGTAGAGAAGATACAACGTACTTCTGTGAAGAGTGAACATGAACAAGTTGGAGGGACGACGGTTCCTGAAATTGGTAGAGGTGCATACATTATTCCCCTTTCACATTCTTCACACCCTGTTAGTCAGAGTTGTCGGACGGGTGTGGTGAATAATAATAATATTGCACGCCGTGAGGAGACTCTTAATACGGAAGAAGTAGTGGAAGAAGAAGAAGACGAAGAAGAAGAAAGACATCATCATCATCATCATCAAGGAAAGGCTGGAGATAATAATAGTCTGGTACAAGCACCGTGGTTAACAAACCTTTCAACACTTGGTGCTGTGGAGTTTGTTCGGATTGCGTTTCTCTGTAATGAGCGGTATCGTCAAGAGCGGTATAGTGAGAAGCGGCGGTGTTTTGAATCTTGCTTGAACACATGCAATATGCGAGCAAAACAGCGGGTGGTGCAGAAATTACTGCGTCGTGCGAAAGAAGATGAAGTGCATGATGTAAAGAAAATGGCAGAACTTTGGCGGCAATTGCATGAAGTGCAAGAAAGAGTGATTGGTGGTAATAGTGATGATAACGTGTTAGATGACACAAAGGTGAAAACAGTATCATCGGAGAATAATGAAAAGACAGGGGAGAAGTGGTTTTCACCATCATATTTACGGCGTGTAATGCGAAAAGTACGTATGGAACTTATTAGCGGTAATGAGAATGGTAACAATGGAGGAAACGGAAAAAATCTTATTGCCCCTGTTATTGCTACTAATACTAGTACTACTACTACTACTAGGGCTGCTATTACTACTATTACTGCCATTACTAATACTAATAATACTACTACTATTACTAATACTAATAATACGAGTACTTCTACCACTACTACTACCACTACCACTACTACTAATAATAATAATAATACTAATACTTCTTGCAGTACTTATTTCTCTGGTGGACAGGAATACCCTTCTTCCTTTGATACAACTCACTGGGTAACTATTACGCTTGATGATAATAAAAATAAAAATACGAGCGATGATATTGATTTGGAGGCGGTAGCAGATACTTATATGTGGCCGAAACACATTGAGGCTAGTATTTCTAATGTATTGTGTGGAGAGGTGGTGCGGAGTGGAAAGCGATTGTTGTTGTTTAATTCAGATATGATTAGAAAAGAATATATTGAAAAAATAGAAGAAGAACATGAATGTGATGGAAATGGAATTGCTGAGGATTATGTACGTACACAACAGAAGCATGATGATGTGAAGAAAATGTTTCATGCATCTCTGCCAGTTGTTGCACTTCCACAGCAGGGAAAGAAGGTTTGGCTGAAAGTTAACACCCTTGGAGACTTTATTGCCGGAGAAGTAAAGTTCTACCAGAGTCATTCACCATTTTAATGAGCAGAATATATATTTGTACTTTCTTTTATATTATTATTATTATTCTTATTATTCTTGCTACTTTTATTTCTCGTGTTTTTTTTTTTCTTCTTATTTTACTAAATGTATTTACTTTTTGCTTACTTGTACTTTATAGACTACTTTTTTAAAATTATTTGTTATTATTTCCTTTTTTTTTTATTGTTCTCTGATATTCCTTCTGGGACTGTTTTCTTTTTTTTTTTTCTTTTTGTTTTCTTTCTTGTGTGGAATGCTACTGCTCCTTTCTATTGTCATTATCTTCATTTTAACCCAAACGAATAGAATGTGGGAAGGAGTCTAAGCAAAACAGGTACAGCAACGGAAAATCAAAGATAAGACAACAAATAAAAAAAAAAAGAAGAAAGAAGGAAAAAGGGAATCATAGCAGCAAAAGGGGAAAAAAGAAAAGAAAAAAAGAGAGAGTACCTATTAAGGTAGTGAAGAAGAAAAGAAGAAATATAAATAATGGCGGGCACTACGGCGATTGTAAAAGAATCCGCCATGTCTCGTGAGTTGCAGCAGGACTGTGTGGATTGTGCCGCCCACGCGTTGTTTGAATTGGGCCTGAAGGAACAGACGGCGATTGCGCAGTTCATCACGCAGGAACTCAACAGTAAATACGGCTCTCGCTTTCACTGCGTTGTTGGCCGCTCCTTTGGATCTTATGTGGGTCACGACAGTCAATACTTTGTGTATTTTCTCATTGGGGATTGTGCCTTTTTAATTTGGCGTACAGTGGATGTGTATGAGGAGCGGGTGTTTTACGTGAATGTAGATGATATAGCGGTGGGGAGAAGTGTACGGGACCACATTGGAAATGTAAATTAGGATTGGATTGGATTGATTAGATTGTGTTTGATTGTTTGTTTGATTGTTTTTTTTTTTTTTTTCTCAACTTGTTCTTGTAGGGTTTTCATGTGAAGACTTGTGTGAGAGAGAAGAAGAAGAAGAAACAAAGAGGAATGAGAGAAATTCTCCTCTGCTCAAGGGCAGTTCCTCACTTGCTAGTTAGAAAAACAAACAAACAAAAACAAAAAAAAACAATCAAACACAATCCACAGTGAATGTTATACTTTGTGTGTGTATGTGTGTGTTGCTGCAGGAGTGTATTATTATTACTATGATTATTATTATTGTCATTATTATTATTATTATTATTATTATTATTATTGTCATTATTATTATGATTGGAGTATTTCCTTCTATTGAATGACCCTTTTGTTGTTGTTGTCTGTGTGTGTGTGTGTCTTTGTTTCTCTCTTTCTCTTTATCTCACTCTCTCTCTCTCTCTCTCTGTATGTGTGGATGGTGCTATCCAAAACAAACAAGGTGCTCTTTTTCTCTTTTCTTTTTTTCTTGTTTTTACTATTATTATTTTTATTATTATTGTCAATCCCATGTAATCCATCATAAATGGCAAGAACATACAAAGAAAGAAAGAAAGAAAAAAAAAAAAAAACAGGATTATTTACCCAATCCACATTTATAAACCCTTTTACATTTGATTGAAGGGTAATTAAGAAGAAACAAAGCGGAAATTGTCTCATGTATACACAGCAGGTACAAACTCGGTTCCCGTCTTGTCGTTTCCCCAATCTCCCTTTTCTTCTTCTTTTCTTCTTCTCACTATTAACTTTACTCTCTGTATCTACACGCATCCCAGGAGCAGCAGCAGGAGCTCCATCACCGCCCCCAACCGCAGAGGAACGTATTGACAACTACCGCCGCCGCGTGGGTCGTGCCTTCATGCAGGAACAATCACGCAAAGCGAACACCATCACACTTCCCTCTGGACTCGTGGTGGAGCGTCTCACTGTTGGCACCGGCACTCGCGCCCCTGCGATAAATGATAACTGCGAAGTGCACTACACCGGCACTCTGCGTGATGGATCCGTGTTTGACAGTTCACGTGATCGGGGCACACCCAGTAATTTTCGCCCAAGTGATGTTATTAAGGGATGGACGGAGGCTCTTATGTTAATGCGAGAAGGCGATCGCTGGCGTATTTACGTTCCGCATGAACTTGGGTATGGTGCTAGAGGCGCTGGGAGAAAGATACCGCCCTACACACCGCTGGTGTTTGATATGGAGTTGTTGAAGATTGAGGGCGGCGGGACTGGGCGTACAGTGGCGGAGATTGATGCCGTCCTGCAAGCCGCAACGGAGGATAAGGGAGATATGTAAGTGGGGATGGGGTGGCGTCTTGTTTATATATATATATATATATATATATATATATATATATATATATAATTAGTGGGAAATAGGGTAGAGAATAATAATAATAATAATAATAATAGTAATAGAGAAGAAAGAATGGGGGAAACACATTGTGTATGATATCATGAGTTTTGTGCGTTAACTATTTTGCGTTGTTATTGATTATCTTATGTTATCTTTGTTTTGATTCTTATTCTTGTTGCTATGCTTCTCTAGTGATTTGCGTATATTGCTTGGTAAGGAATGTTGTGTGGGTTATCTATTGTGATTATTATTATTATTATTATTATTATTATTTTTATTATTATTATTATTATTATTATTATTATTAAATTATATATGCTGTTAACACTGGTAAAGGGAATAGAAGACTCTGAGAATAATATCACATTCCACCGTTTGTGTCCCTCTGAGTTATCTCATGTTTAATAATAATATTAATTAATACTAATAATACTGTTCTTTTTCTCTTCTTTATATCTGTAAGTGGAGCAAGAAAAAATACATATTAAAAGAAGGAAAAAAAATAAAAAGAATTTAAAGAAAAGGGAAAGTGTATTTCTATTATAAATATAAAAGACATCAAGAAGTAAGAAAAGAAACATAAATATAATAATGAGCGCAAATTCAAATTCAGAAAGTAATAGTGATAATGACAAGGATATAAAACCGCAAACATGCAAGGAATCTGAGGAGCAAAAATCAAATACTAACGACAGTACAACAGAAGAGAAAGATTCTCCCTCTTCTTCTTCTTCATTATCATCATCATCATCATCATCCAATTGGATAGACTATTGGATGTGGTATGGGGCAATCCTATTACTACTCATTACCATCTCTTTCTCCTTGTATGATAAGTACCACACGCGTCTGGAGTTGGGTTACGATCATGATGAATATATAAAGTATCTGAAGGAAGAGTGGTCTACGGCTGGAAATAAACTCCTCGCAGCCGCCGCACATGATAAGAGTTTTACAAATTACCGCAATACACGTATCTTCTTTCGTCCTATTATGCGCAAAGTCCCAATACCCAATACTAGTCCAGTCGCGTACAAACAGAAAATCGGTTTGGCGGAAGTGGATAATGACAATCACTGGCGTTCAGAGTACGATAATGTTAAAGGAGAATCCAATAAAACAACAACAGGAAATAAAATACGTTGTATAGATGAGGATGATAACATACAAGTCTACGTTGTTGGAATCCGCTCTAATGGTATTCGCTTCACCTCCTCCTACCAGAGTGGCGTACCCCCGGACTTCTACAAACTAGAAAACCACGTCTCTTGTCTGCAGAAAGTTTTATTGTTAATGTGTGAGGGCGACAAGTGGGAGATGTTTTGTCCACCCGAAGAGGCCTACGGCGAAGTGGGGAGCGGCGAAGTGCCGCCGGCAGCGACAACCGTCTGGCGGGTGAGTGTGCAGAGGACGAGGGGCGGGGAGGAGCGCACCCGCGAGGATGCGGAGAGGCGTCTTTTGCGAGTGGCTGTTGAGATGAATGAGACTCTGGCTGTTCCAGTGACCCGACGGCGTTTGTTTGAGAAGGCAAAGATGTATTTGGCGAACTCAACTGTAAATGTGTGAAAAGATTTTATTTTATTTTTTATTTTTT